CCCCAAAACCCCAAAACCCCAAAACCCCAAAACCCCAAAACCCCAGAGCCCAGCATTAATATTGAAATATGAGTTAAATTTTATACAAAAAAAGGCTGTTCTTTCTTAAAAGTATAAATCTCTCTTGACCTGGAGTAAAGATGAAGCTCACAGTTATTTTTATCAATGATCTGTAGTTCTGATAGATCTGCATTGGTTTGTATTGTAAGCATCTCCAATTTGGTTATGTGTTTGGTTGTATATTCAAGGATAGTGTCTAGAGTTTTGAAGTCCTCTCCTATTTCTCCATTGTCATGAGCAACTCAGTCTGAGATTTCCAGTTCAATAAGTGATGAATTAGGTTTTGAGTAGGAATCAGAGCTTTCTCAAGAAAATCTGCATTTATTTTAATCATAAATGTTCTACTGGAGATGAGAGGATTATAATTTTAGAGAATCTCTTCATATTAAGATCCAAGCTACACAAAATCAACTCTCTCATACATCTTGATGTAAGCCCATATATTAATTTCTGATTCTTGAAACTAAAATGGCAGGATTGGTCAGTACTAAAGGATTGAAGTTAAAATTACCCTATTGTCATGTATCTCACTAATTTCAAATTTTTAAGCCTACCATCTAAGGTCTCTCCAAGAATTTTCATAAGGATTCTCTGATTTTGCTTGGTATTTTTCTCACATCGAATAATTTTAAGATTGTTATAATTCGGGAGTTTATTCGATGAAGTATATATCTTTCATGTGAATCCATCTTTCTGATCAATAGATCCATCTCTCAATGTAATATTGTCTGAACCAGATTACATAAACTTAAATCTTAGAAATCAAAATTTTACTTGGGCAAAAATAGTTAGCTCTTAATATCTTTAAGGAGAATTTAGCCTTTAAAGACTAGAAATAATTTTAGCATATAATTTCCTTACCAAAATCCGATTCTCCTTCGGCAAGTATCTTTAGCCCCAATCTGTCTTCATCAAAACTTATTGTGGTTTCTTTTTCATTAATAGACAAGCTGCCTATATTTTGAGAGGCTTCCATTTTCAATAAAATATATTAGGATTGGGGTTTTGGGGTTTTGGGGTTTTGGGGTTTTGGGG